GATGGATGAACGAATGGATAGGTGGATGGATGAACGTATAGATAGATGGATGGAAGAACAGATGGATAAATTGATAGATGGCTGAACAGATTTATTGGTGGATGGATGGATGGATGGATGGATGGATGGGTGGATGGATGGATGGATGGATGGATGGATGGATGGGTGATTGGATGGATGGATGGATGGGTGATTGGATGCATGGATAGATACATACTGTTTTTCTGGTTTTACCTTTTGACTATTGTTTTGCTAATTTTGGTATTCCACTACTGTTTTGATCATTTTAGCTTTTAGCTACTGTTTAGCTAATTTCAGCTTTTAACAAGTGTTTTTATATTTTTGCCATTTGCTAATTTTAACTTTTGGACAATGTTTAGTTATTTTTAGCTTTTAGCTACTGTTTTATTTTAACTTATCAACTGTTCTGCTGAATTTACCCTTTGCTAAATGATTAAAATGATGAAGATTAGTTTGATCTTTTAGCTGCTGTTCGGGTAGATTTAGCTTTTAGCTACAGTTCTGCTCATTTTAGTTCCTGCTGTTCTAGATTTAGCTTTTAGCTACTGTTCTGCAAGTTTTAAATTTTACCTGCAATTTTATTAATTTTGGCTTCATGTCTTTCTTTGTCTTTTGCTAGCGTTAGCATTTCCCGTTTTTATCATTTGATTTTTTAATAATTTTAGCTTTTGTTTTGACATTTATCATTCAGTGCTCAGCATTTACACATTCATGTTTTTGCTGATATTGAAAATCGCTCTAACGAGAACGCTTATTCTGTTAAAAAAAATTATTATTAATTCCCAATAAGACTTTGGGAATTGGTCATGTAAAATATTTCTAATCAAAAGAGAAGTTAATATTTAGCCTTGAACTTGTCTGATTTTGCAAGCACACACATTTCTTAAGTTTAATAAAAAGACAAAAAAAAAACCTTTAATAATAAAAATTGCGCTTTCTTGATTAATACTTGCAAAGAAAAATCAATCAATCAACCTTTATTTATACAGGTAAATCCCATTGAGCCTCGAGGACTCATTTACAAGAGAGACCTGATTAAAAAAATTATTAAAAAATATTTTTTTAAGTATTGGCTTTGTTTTTCGGACCTCGAGGTCAGTAAATTTTATTACAAACTCATATTCTCATCAATAAACTTTTTTTTTTTAATGCAAGATTTACATTAAGTTATTATTACTGGGGGTGGTTTCCACCCGTTTGGAGGGTGTGTGTTGAAAAAAAAAAAACCGGACCCAGGCAGCAGATCTGGGTCCTAAAGGGAGGGGCTTGGTCTGGTTTGTTACCAGACTCTGGTGGAGGACTGAGTGCAGACTGGCTCCCTCTCACACCACCCAACAGCTCAACTTTGGTCCCTGCTAAGATCCAACAGGTAGGAGCTCAAATCTAAACTTGTCTTTCAGCCGAGTTTGGGTTTTAAACGGAGGACGGCAAAAGTTAGAGAGTGGGGAAGGAGGAGGGCGGCTTGTTGTTTTCTGATGGGGGGGGGCGGCCGCTCCTTCCTTTGTGCGTTTCTCCTTCACGCGCACAGTTCGCGTTAGCCCGAACTTTTCACGTCCACGCGGTGAATCGTGACGCACAAAGAAAGGCTGGCGTTGTTGTTGTGCGCTTCTTCTGGAACAAAGTGCGGAGGTCCGGGGTGGGGGCGGGGGTCTCCAGCCCCTGAGGACGACCTGACGCTGAGCGTGCACGGCTGCAGACATTCCTGCGGCCCCTGAACGCATCGCGCAGGGAGACTGCGAGACGTCTTCAAAGACCAGGTCTGAAGCCCAAACCATCCGTGCTCAGGGGTTTTAGAAATGTACTAAAATAGCTCATTTTAGTCAACATTTAAACAAAAATCGATATAAATTGACTTAAATGACTGTAAGCATTGACCAACTTTGTATTTTGTATAAAAAATTACATTTTATCTAAGTCGGATTGTCTGTTAGCAAAATATCTTTTTGACGACTGGACTGATTTTAAGGACATTTTCAGAAAATAATCAGTGGATGAGCATCTATGAATGATGAACTTTTGGAGTCATCCCCATTCAAGATGGCTGCCACAGCTGATCAAACTTGTCAAACACAAAGCTGTCTCTAACTCCGTTGTGTTTGCAGATAATGAGCTGAAGTTTGGTGTGGTAGTAGCTTAGACTGATCCTCAATGCATAATCTGAGCAGTACCTCAGTAAACATTTCTTTTGTTTAAAATATTGAACAGGGCAGGTCATGTGCAATCTCACATGCAAAGCTTATTTTTGCTAATGTTCATTATTTTATATCATTTTTCAATATTTTTATACTGTTCCATCAGTCCAGTAGAAAAAAAAAAAACACATAAGAGATTGCAGAAAATGAAATAAGCAAATATTAGCTCAAGTCATTTTTGATTGGCTGCAAGTTCATCAGCAAGAGTTTGGTTTGTCTTGTTTGGTTGGTTGTTGCTCTTTATGTGTAAATAATAATAATAATTCAAACTTACATTTTCCTAATTTAAAGTTGGCTAGTTCGCTCAGTGAGCAGTAATAGCCTTGATGTGGTACAAATTGGCGGGTCAGTCCTATAAAACATATATTTTAGCAAAATTGCCTCAAGGGCTGTATTTGTCCCGCGGGCCTCAGGTTTGACACATGGTCTCTTTCAGACGAAGCCTTGCAGATCACCAGATACCACATTCCTTAGAGTCCGGCTGACCCAGAGGCTAAAAGCTTTCAGGTCTGATTCTGCGCTGCAGACGGTGGAGCTGGGTGTTCCTGACCGCTCTCAGGCCGCACACGGCAATTGTCTGGTAAACCGTATCAGATAAAGTTGTGCAGAGTTTGGGGGAAAACACGTGGAGAATGCCCTTCGCTCCTTTTAAGGTTCGACCCGGAGACAGATGATTGGATCGGTCCCTGGAATGCAGTGTTCAGGCTCGCAGTCTGTCCTGGTCTCTGCTCATTCAAACCGCTCAGTTCTGGTTTACAAACGGTTCAGTATTTTTTTATTTAAAAGAAAAATGCAGATTCTCTGTCACGTTTAGATTTACGTTTGTAATTTTATCCGTTAGCGTTGTAAAAAACAAAATGCAACGACTCTGATTTGTCAAAAACGGACGTCTTTAAAGTCGAGGTGCCTTTTTTTTGTTTTAGACCAGGGGTCTGCAACCTTTGAAATCAAAAGAGCCATTTCCACCCTTCATTTACTAAATAAAATGTGTCTAGAGCCAAAATCTGCTACAACAGTCATTATCAACTGGTGGCTCATGGGCCACATCAAATGTGGGGGTGGGGTTTTTCAGCCAGTTTATAAAACAAGAATCATATAATGGATTTTAACATTTATTGATATTTTTACATTTTAGGGCTAAAGAAAAGACCACATTCATGTAAACAAGGGGATAAATATATATTTCATACCAATTTGACCCCCGGAAAAATGAACCCTGAACTTTGCAGGTTTATGTGAGTCTTTCTTTTAATTTTAGAAAATAAAAATATTTATGTATCCCACTTTAAAGTAATAAAGCATGAATTTAGTGTGTCTAAACATTAGGCCTTTTTGTTGGATATGTAATTGTGACTTAATTTTTTAATTTAAAAACTTTTTTTTTAATTTACTTTAACTTTAATTAGATCTATCTATTTGCTGTAACAAATTAATTAAGTACTTAATTAATTATTCACTATATTTTTCTGGGCAATTGTCCTAAAGGTCTTCTAAAGATTTCTGGTGGATTTGAGAGAAACATCCAACTGTAAGGCCAGAAGTGAAATAAATGAAGTAAAGCTAATCCACAGTATTTTCTCCTCCTTTTAGTAATTTCATTTAAACATTTACAGAAAATCAGATGAAACGTTTCATTTCTCTTTACTGTGCGTATAAAAACCAAAAAGTTTACATTATGTTTTGGTCAAAGCTTCAAAGAGCCGCAGACCAAGAAGCAGAGAGCCGCATGTGGCCCCAGAGCCGCAGGTTGCAGACCTCTGCTTTTTAGACAGTACATTCCATTTAATAAAAAAACATTTAAATGCAATAGATCCAAACTGTTTTTCTTTGTAAATATACGGTAAATTATGTTAAAATGGTTTCACCAAAAAACAGCAATACCATGCTAGGCCACTAGGTGGCGACAACGCTACAAAGCAGCTTGTTCCTTATGCGCTTTGTCTGTTATTAATTGTGTCAGCACAAAGTTTGACATTATCAGAACGAAGTTATATTGTGACAATAGTGATTAATAAAGAAAACCCAGTAAACGCGGCTCCATTAAGTAATAGTTAGCATTCGTAAAATGCGCTGCTACATAACTTAACTTACATATTTTGAGTCGACGAAATGCAAAAATATTTTTAATATATTTTAAACTGGTAGGTAAATGTTTTTTATGTCTGTTTTGTCTCACAGAAAAAAAAAACATTTGTTACAGGAAATCTAAATAAAAAAAATCTAGAGTGGTGTAGACAACAGGTATGCTCAGTGGTTTTGGAATATGTGGAGTCTCGTTAAATCAGACGTTTCAGATATTGAGCTCAGGCTTGGTGTGGTAGTAGCTGAGAGTAATCCTCAGCACGGTGACTGTGTACAATCACATGTCAATGATCTCACAATATGGAACTACAGATATGGATCCTTCCCAGTTTAAAAGTTGGTCTTGAAAGGTGACGGGCGATGTGCATGGCTTCACAGAAAGCTCAACCTTTTAACAGTTTAGCTACATGTTTGTTCGTTAACTCCACTCCTCTGAAGCTGGTTCTTGTAGAACTTTATGCTCGTCGTAGTTTGTACATGGACATGACTGGTCGGCCCAGTCTGATGTGGGAGCTGAGGGCTCTGGAGGTAATGGCACCGAGCGATAACGGAGGTTTGGCAGCAGAGGGCGAGAGCCGGGTTAGGGCCGGGCCGGCAGGATGTCGGGAGCACTGCTGGGCATTTCCAGAGTCCGGCTCTGCTCAGTACAGTTCCTGTAGGCTGCCTCAGGTTCTCTCCTTTTCCATCCCATAATGCTCTCTGGTCAAAGTTGCATTCAGGAGATGATTTGCTGAGTCAGGATTCGCTTCTATTGTTTTTCTGTAAATTCTGGACAATCTACAAACTTCTGAATGCTTTGTGCTTTTTAAGCTATTAAAATGTCAAAACCTTCAGCTTGTTCAGGAAATGGCTGCTTTGACCTTTGTGCTTTTATAACTTTTAAACTTTTCAAAACATCCACAGTAAGTTCAAATGTTTCCCCGTAGAGCTGCACCGAGATGTCTTCCAGTTCTTTTAGAAACATTTTTCTTAATCTGCTTCTGCAAACTTGCTGTTTTTGTTTTCAGCTACTTTAGGTTTTAACTATTGTTTAGCTACTTTTAGTTTGTAACAAGCCTGTTGCTTCGATCAAGCCTTTACTATGTTTAGCCATCTTTTACTACATTTGGCTTTTAACAAGCCTTTTGCTACTTTTAGGATTTTAGCACGCCTTTTGCTACTTTTAGCCTTTAGCCAGCCTGTAGCTACTTTTGACTTACAAAGGTTGAATTTTGCTACTTTTAGCTTTTAGCCAACCTTTTGCTACTTTGGGCTTTTAGGTGGGATTTTGCTACTTTTATTTTATAAAAAGCCTGTACTTCAATCAAGCCTTTGCAATTTGTAACCAACTTTTTTACAACTTTAATCTTTTAATAAGCCTTTTGCTGCTTTTTGGATTCTAGCCAGCCTTTAGCTAATTTTGGGTTTTATGTGAGATTTTGCTACTTTTAGGTTTTGCTGGGATTTTGTTGGTTATAGCTATTAGCTGACAATTTTGTTAGTTTTAGCTATTAGCTAGCCTTTTGCTACTTTTAGCTTTTATCCAGCCTTTAGCTACTTTTGGGGTTTAGGTGGGATTTTGCTACTTTTAGGTTTTGCTGAGATTTTATTAGATGTACCTATTAGCTGGCATTTTGTTAGTTTTAGTTAACTGGTATTTTGCAACATTTTGGCTTTTAGGCAGCCTTTTATAATTGTTGGGTCTTAGTTACTTTGTAAGTTTTAGCTGGACTTTGGCTGTTTTTAGCTTTTCTCTGGCACTTTGCCACTGTTGGCTATTTTTTGGCTTTTAGCCAGCATTTTGCTACTTTTAGCTAGCATTTTGCTACTTTTAGCTAGCGTTTTGCTACTTTTAGCTAGCGTTTTGCTACTTTTAGCTAGCGT